TTAAGTGATGGTTCAATGACAAAAGAGGAAGACTCTCAAAAAGATGGATTGATACAAGACTGTAACAATGGGTTCAAACATAGTAACAATTATGAAGGTCATCAGGACAAGGTCATTTTTCCTTGTGTTATACATATGGTTGTTATGAGCTGGACCAGACTCAAGGGCACCTAACAACAACAATATTTCAGCAGGACAAAAAGTATATCTGAAACTAACATTTTTCCTCAATTTGAAACAGGCAATCATTTGATATAATTTTCAGCTGCAATTTAGATTATCTGCTACATAATTTGCCATTATAGCCTGCTCTAGGATATAGTTGAAATAAAAAAACCTATGCCAAACATCATTAGATAATGAGTCATTTTGTTATGTGGCTGATAAAAATATTTGTATGAAAAAAGTATATTGAATGGCATAAGGATGCATGCATTTCAAGTACCATAGGTGGTCCTGGTAAAATATTCTAAAATGATTTATCACATTTACAGGAGAAATAAATATAAACTATAAAAAACAAATATGAGAATAGCTACAGGAAAGAAGAAACAGTCATGTCCCCAAAACATGTATGAATTTTATTTTGTCTAAAAGAGCACACCTGGTGGAGTATATACTTTTTGTGAGTTGCATTGCTGTATAATAACTAGATGATTTAGCTGAATTCGGCTTCTGGCATTGAATCTGGACATTGAATCCTGTGACCATGTAAATAATATCATCACTGCTAACATACTTCCTCTGTCATACTTGGAACATATTATTAGGAGGGACCAGTCCCAGGAGAAGGACATCATATTAGGAAAAGTGGAGAGTCTGTGGAAAAGAAGAAGAGCCCCAATGAGATGGATTGGCACAGTGGCAGCAGCAATGGGCTCAAGTTTAACAATGATAGTGAGGATGGTGTAGGCTGGGCTGTTCTTCCTTCTATTGGGCATAAAGTTGCTATGAGTTGGAACCAATTAGATGGCACCTAACAGCAACAACAACAATGTTGCAAGCAGTTGTAAGAAGAGGGCATGAAGTCAAGAAAAATAAATGAAAAAGATCAAGAAAGAAAAGTGGATGCATTCAAAACTTGTTGAAATAACATGAAGCAAAATCTGAAGTAAAGACAGAATACTTCAGATTATGTATTCAAATGACAATGAAGAAGAAAATTTTCATAACTCATTCCAAATGAAAAAAGTCCAGCCATTTTTGTAAGGAAGGAAAATGGTTATATATTTTTCTTAGTTGTTGGTAAGTGCGGTTGATTTGGTTCAAATTTATAACGACCCTGTAAGGTTTTCAAGAAGTAGCTGGTGGGTTTCAACTGCTGACCTTGTGGTTTGCAGTCTGGTGCTGAGCCTACAGAATCTCAACGGATGTCTCTTTAGATAGACATATATTAAATAACACAATGAAGTTAAAATATGAATAGTCTGTTAGGCATGAAAAATATTGACTCGTGTGAATGTCTTTCACATTTCAGTGTTTCCTTGCTATCAGTAAATATTTTTGCAACACGGTCTGCCTGCAATGCACCTTGGACTTCTTCCTTCAGTATCATTGGCTCTTTGTCACATTCTACTTCTTGAAACAATTGAACATCGACCATTTTTAAATGTTAAAGATATAACAAATACACTTTGAAATATAATTTCCTGCATCCTTCTCAACTCTATTATTTTATACTTTTATATAAAACAAATTATTTAAAAAAAAATAAGGGATATTTTAAGGATGTCACTTTTAACAAAAATAGTTTAAAATTTTTTACTCTGTCTCTGCCTAGTTTTCATTCCTTCTTTTATTTTCTGAATAGTCTAGTCAAATGAATTTAAGAGGAACAAAGTAAATGGTAGGATTTAAAAAATATTAAATTGAGTCACTCTTTGTGAATATACATTGGTTTAAGGGGTGCATTTGTTGTTGTTAGGTGTTATCAAGTTGGTACTGACTCACAGTGACCCTATGCACAACAGAACGAAATACTGCCCAATCCTAGGCCAACCTCACAATTGTTGCCACGCTTGAGCCCATTGATGCTGCCATTTTGCCAATCCATCTTGCTTGCGGGGGGGGGTCTTCTTCTTTTTCTCTGACCCTCCACCTTACCAAACATGATATCCTTCTCCAGCGACTGGTCCCTCCTGACAATATGTCTGAAGTATGAGAAACAAAGTCTGGCCATCCTGGCTTCCAAGGAGCACTCTGTCTACACTTTACCAAAATACATCTATTTGTTCTTTTGGCAGCCCACAGCACTTTCAATATTCTCCTCCAACACCATATCTCAAATGCATCAGTTTTTCCATGGTCTTCCTTATTCACTGTGCAGCTTTCACATGCATATGAAGTTATTGAAAATACCATGGCTTGGGTCAGGTGTACCTAAGTCCTCAAGCTGACATCTTTGCTCTTCAACACTTTAAAAAAGTCTTATGCAGCAGATTTGCCTAATGCAGTACATCATTTGATTTCTTGACTGCTGCTTCAATGAGTGCTGATAGCTGATCTAAGAAGAATGAAGTCCTTGACAACTTCTATCTTTTCTCCATTGATAAGAATGTTGTTTATTGGTCCAGTGGTAAGGATTTTTGCTTTCTTTACATTGAGACGCAATCCATACCAAAGGCTATGGTCTTTGATCTTCATCAGTAAGTATGTTAAGGCCTCTTCACTTTCAGCAAGCAAGGTTGGATCATCTGCATATCATAGGTTGTTAATGAGTCTTTCTCCAATCCTGATGCCTGATCCCAGCTTCTCGGATTATTTGCTCAGCATACAGATTGAATAAGTATGATGAAAGAATACGACCCAGTCATATATCTTTCTTAATTTTAAACCTTTTCGTGTTCTCATGTTCTGTTTGAACAGCTGCCTCTTGGTCTATGTACACATTCCTCATGAGCACAATTAAGTATTCTGGAATACTCATACTTCACAATGCTGTCCATAGCTTGTCATGAGCTATACAATCGAAAGCCTTTGCTAGCCAGTAAAGCACAGGTAGACATCTTTCTTGTATTCTCTGCTTTCAGCCAAGATCCATCGGCCATCAGCAATGATATCCCTTGTTTCATGTCCTCTTCTGAATCCGGCTTGAACCTCTGGATGTTCTCTATCAATGTATGCTTGCAGCCATTTCTGTACTACCTTTAGTAAAACTTTACTTGCATGGGATATCAAAGATATTATCCAATGATTTCCACATTCTATTGGGTCACCTGTCCTTGGAATGAGCACAAATGTAGATCTCTTCCAACCAGTTGGTCAGACAGTTGTCTTCCAAATTTCTTGGCATAGATGAGTGAGTGCCTCCAGTGGCCCCTCAGTTTCTTGAAAGATTACTATTTTTATTCCATCAATTCCTGGTGCCTTGTTCTTTGCCAGTTCTTTCAGTGCACCTTGGACTTCTTCCTTCAGTATCATTGGCTCTTTGTCACATGCTATTCTTGAAACAATTGAACATCAGCCGTTTTCTTCCTTCCATCTTCTCTGTGTATTCCTTCCATCTTCTCTTGATGCTTTCTGCATCATTCAATAATTTGCCCAGAGAATCCTTAATGATGAATGTCGAGCCTTAATTTTTTTCTCCAGTTCCTCCAGCTTGAGAAATGCTGAGCATGTTCTTCCCTTTTGGTTTTTTGACTCCAGATTTTTGCACATTTTGTTGAATATTTGACTTTGTCTTCTCGAGCTGACATTTGAAATTTTCTGTTCAGTTCTTGTACTTTCTCATTTATTCCATTTGCTTTAGCATCTGTACACTGGAGAGCAAGATTCAGTGTCTCTTCTAACATTCATTTTGATCTTTTCCTTCTTTCTTGTCTTCTGAATGACTTTTTGCTTTCTTCATGTATGATGTTCTCGATGTCATCCCACAACTCTTCTGGTTTTCAGTCTTTAGTGTTTAATGTATCAAATCTGCTCTTCAGATGATCTCTAAATTCAGGTGGGACCTATTCAAGGTCATATTTTGGCTCTCTTGGGCTTGTTTTCATTTTCTTCAGCTTCAGCTTGAATGGTCTGCTCTACAATCTGTCCCTGGTCTTGTTTTGGCTGATGATATGGAGCTTTTCTATTGTCTCTTTCCACAGATGTAGTCAATTTGATTTCTGTGTATTCCGTCTGGTAAGGTCCATGGGTATAATCAAGATATTTGATTATGCTGTCTAAAGAAGGTATTTGAAATGAACAAATAATTGATTTTGCACAATTCTATCATGCGATCTCCAGCATAATTTCTATCACTAAGGCCATATTTTCCAACTATTGATCCTTCCTCTTTGTTCCTAAACTTGGCATTCTAATGACGAGTAATGAACAATACATCTTGATTGCATAGTGTATTAAAAATACACACACTATCCTACTAAATAGTTAAAAAGGACCCCTAGTAGTATAGTGGGTTGTACATTGGGCTGATAACTGCAAGGTCAACAGTTTGAATCCACCAGCTGTTCCCAGGAAGAAAGATGAGCCTTTTTAGCTTCTGAAAAGATTTATAGCCTTGGAAACCCTATACAGGGTCACTATGAGTTGGAACCAACTCAACAACGCACCACCAGTAGCAAATAGTTAAACATGATCAAGCAAAATAATTAGCTTTGTGAAGTGACTGTGCTTCATTTAATTTCTTCATGGTAATATAATAAAGAAACATATATTTAATATGACAAGTGAATTTATAGAGTCCTTGTGTGGCACTCTAGGATCAGCACTGGACTGCTAACCACAAGGTTGGTGGTTCAAGCTGACCAGCCGTTCCTAGGAAATCCTAGAACTAACTCAACAGCACACAGCAACAACAACCACCAATTATTTAGTGTACATTCCTTCCCTACCCCCACTTAGTATACTGTGATGTATCCAGTATTAAAAAATGCTGCCATTATTCACAGAAAAAAAAATCTACAAATAAAGTTATGCAAAAATTAATGTATGATGAATGATTTAAATATAGAACTCAGAATAGCTTATTTAAATGCCATCAGAAAGGAACATGTTACCCGCAAAAAGGAGTCGAGGGATCCATTCTCCATGTATTCCACCACAATCATTACGGGTCTGCCTGCAAAAACAGCAAGAGAATGCACAAGGATTAGAACAATTACAGAAATATGTGTTGTCGCTTGAGAGTTCTAGCTGTGGAAGTGAAATAATTTGTATTTTATTAATAGCACTTTCATTTACCAATCTGCTTCTATGAACCTACTCATACATGGGCACCGCTCAATTTCTCTATAGCATTATTTTTTCTGAGTTCATAAAAGAGACATGCTTTACAATATGAATTAGTATTTCCTCTTTTTAAGATCTGCAATCACTTGTTTAGATGATATTTCTTTTGTTCTCTAGATTTTTATAAAAAGGAAATCAACAAGTTAAAGTCAGGGCTCAAGTAGTCACTGTAGTGGCTTTGGCAGTTCTAGTATAATTTCTCCTATAGTGGTGTGGATTTATGGCAGAATTATATTAGACTGAGCATTTCTGCAATATTCATAAGGCAAATCAGAAAGGTGACAATTATAAATTATCTTTAAAAATAATAAACATTCATTGTAGTTTGCTTTGGAGGAGTTTTAAACAGAAAACCTTAAGTAGATTGATGCATGCAACAAAGTGGTTGGGATTTGTAATGTTTCTGATCATTTCTTTATTGGACTTTTATTAGATCAACAGAGCATGACTGAAGTACATGAAATATAAGTAACTCAGGTGCAGAAGCTAAAATCAGAAACTGAAAATCATTTATTTCTGTCTTTATCACATCTGTTTGCAATTGTTTACAGCTCCCAATATATGTCTATTAGGTCAAATAATAGATATAAGTAACAGATTTGTTTCAAAGTAAAGAATGCATTTACTTTCCCAATTTCTTAAGTTTAAAAAATTAACTAATTACAGATGAAGGGAAAAATGATATTTACCTGAAATAAACATGTATAACACTTTACTTTTTACTTCTGTATTTCTTGCCTCTCAATAGCTTTTCTTTAGCAATTCAACCTATGCAGGTGTTTTTCCTCATGAACATAAAGAAGATCATGAAAGAATTTATGTATACCAATGATAGAAATATTAGATCTTGTACTGCAATTTATATCTCTTTTATGAACTTTTGTGTTTAAAAAAGTGCCAATAACAAATTACTACAATGCCTGCAAATGCTAGATTTTACATTTGAATCTCTATTTTAAAGAAAGATGTGCTAAAGGTTAAATGTAGTAATAAAGCTCCCAATTTATCATGCATAGAATTAGAACCCAAAAAACTTTTCCATTTGTGGTGGATATTAAGTTATATTATGTAATGACCCTCAAAGTCACTGCTTTTACCTAAATATGAATAAAAAACCTTATTAGAAAACATTGAGGTCAAATGAACTATCAGCACTATTGCCGGCAGGGTTCTAGAAGATCCATCCATGTTTTAAATCTGAACATTTCTAATGAAATAGTTTTTTGGCCACTGGTTTTGGATAGTATGCAGTTACTCGTATGATACTGATGGAAATGCTTAATTAACAAGGCATGGAAAATAAAAGGTCAAGTTTATTCTTAAATTTAAAAGTTGAGACCATTATTCCATTATAATATCTGTATTATGAATTATAGATATTAAAGGAAAAAAGTTGTGTGGGTACAATGACTTCCTGATTTCTCATACCACTGCTGCCAATGATAAGTTAGTCAGTTGTTCTTTTCCTTAACATTTATTCTCTCCTTAAGAACACCAGCCTTATTAGAATAAAAAGCATTTACAGCCACTGAGCATATATGAGGTGTAAGCACTGCTCTTATAGTGATACATATGTATTGTTATTATCCTTAAAACACAGATAAGGACATTGAGGGAGAGAATAAACGATTTGCTTGAAGTCAAGCAGCTAGTAAATGACAGTGTTAGACAATCTGTCTTAGGTCTTAAACTCTTAACCTTTATGCTAGAAGTGCCTCTCAGACAAGATTTATAGCTAAAAGCTCTAAGTCTCATTTGGTTAGTCTGTCCTTTCTAGTGATGGATCCTGTCTTTCTCAGGTAACTATATCACCCATGGTTGCACCAGTTGACATTATTGCCTATATCGCTGCTCCAATTCCTTGAGAGTCTCCTTAATTATTTTGTTGTTGTTAAGTACCGTGGAGTCATTTCCAACTCATAGTGACCCTGCACATAGTGACCTCATTCCTGGAGCAGAAAGCCTCATCTTTCTCCCATGGAATGGCTGGTAGTTTTGAACTGCTGACCTTGAGGTTAGTAACCCCTACGCTACCAAAGATCCTTTTAATTATCTTGGTGGTGGTGTTAGTGTGCCGGGGAGTCGGTTCTGACTCACAGTGACCCTGTATAGGGTTTCTGAAGCTGTAAATTTTTACGGGAGCAGAAAGCTTCCTCTTTCTTCCTCTGAGCAGCTGGCAGTTTTGAACTGCTGACCTTGAAGTTAGCAGCCCGACTCAGAACCACTACACTACCAGAAATTTCCCATACTTGAGTTCCAATAACATTTATAGCCTGCACATTTGTGGTACCTCATTTTACATTACGTTGTTTGCTTTATCTTCCTACAGATGTTTTGTATCCCAGTTCACTGAGATTCTTTCCCATAGAGTTGAGTATAGTAGGTGTGCCATAAAAACAAATTTGTCTATTTGAATTCATACTACCCAAGAGGGTAGTGGAGTGCTAGTGTGGTGCTGAAGGATAAGCATGGGACTGCTAACCGCAAGTAGGCAGTTCAAACCCACCAGTGGCTCCTTGGAAACCCTATACAGGGTCGCTATGAGTCGGAACCGACTCCAAAGCACGTAACAACAACAACAACATGAAGGTAGCATGGAAGTATTTCAGCTTGATTTTAATCCATATGAATACAAAGCACTACGAAATTAGCAGCTCTAACTGTGAAACTGGAGACCTGGTGTGGCAGTACAGGAAAAGTGCAGAACTGCAAGGTTGGTTTGAACCACAAGGTCGGTGGTTCAAACTCACTAGTTGCTCCTTGGGGCTCCATGGTCGCTATGAGTCTGAAGTGATTTGACAGCACTTAACAACTAGTCTTTAACTCCTTGGGAAATCTTTTATTCAGTTTGAAAATTCATCGGTGGTAAGTTTCATCTTCTCATTAAGGATAATACAAAGTCAAATGAAGTCTCTCTTGGTTGCTTGTGAATTAGAAGTTTCACACTTCAGTTTTTCATCTTTTGTCTTTTGTACAGTAACATCAAATGAGAGCAGCTGTTATTTCTAAAAAAAGGCATTGCTTTTAGGAAATATTGCTGGCATCTAACCTGTAATTTGTTTCCTAGTGGTTTTTGATAGTTACCTTGTGAAGCTTATAAGCAACTTTACAATCTATGATTATATTTTATAATCAATAAGATAGATATTAGTAAAGTTATAACAATAAGATGATATTCTTTACATGTATTACATGTTGATAACAGTTTTTTACATCTTTTTAATATTAAAAAAATTAGATTTAAATTTTACTCTTGGTGTTAGTGGTATGCTGTGGAGTTGGTTCCGACTCATAGCGATAATGCATAGGGTTTCTGAGGCTATAAATCTTTATGGGAGCAGAAAGCTTCATCTTTCTCATACAGAACGGCTGGTAGTTTTGAACTTCTGACCTTGAAGTTAGCAGCCTGACTCATAGCTGCTATGCTACCAGAGCTCCTTTTTACTCTTATAAAATATGTTTTAAAGTCATTAATTCTCTTTTTGTTGTTGTTTGCCAATGAGTAGATACTGCCCCATACAGTTTCCCAGGCTCTAATCTCCAAGTCTTTCTCCTCTCAAGTGGCTAATTGGTATGAACTGTGAACCTTTTGGCTAACAGTTCAGTACTTAGCCATTGAGCCACTGGTGCTTCTGAATTGCCTTTTAACATTTTCAAAATATATCAGCTAGTTACTCCAAGTGCCTACTCACATAATCACCTTAATGTTTGCATTGTACTGAAGTCAATGTTTAAATATCAGGATTCTTGAATGGTAGCCAATTCATAAAACCCCCAGATCTTTTTCAGAATGCTCATCAGGTTGAGTGTAAAAGATTCTAAAAGTCACACAAAATGAGATTCTCAGGGTTTCCTTCATAAATAGCCCAGAAATGGATATGGATATTTTTAATTACTTTGGAATCAAAATCCCCTAAGAATTTATTTATTTATATTCAAGAAACAATGAATTATATCATCCTATAATATCTATTTTTGTTTTAGAGAAGAATACCTATTTTTTTTCATTGGGACTTTTATGGGCTATTGATGAAGAAATCTTTATCAGATTTGTAGCATCTGTGGTGCTGAAAGATAATGCGGTGGATCACAAGATCAGTTTGAACCACAAGGTCAGTGGTTCTGACCTTCCAGCTGCACCTCAAAAACCCCATACAGGGTTGCTATGGGTTGGAACCAACTCGACGGAACTTAACAACAAAACTTAACAACAACAACAAATATTTATGGTGATTGTGACGTATGTGGTCTGGAGATACTATATGATCACAAAAATGTTTTTTGTCCTGTTGTTAAAGCAAAAGACAAGCATTCTTTAAATGTTCCAGAAAAATGTTGGGGAAATATATTTCCAGTGAAACAGATTTTAGATTTGTCCTTAGAGAAGATATATGAAAGAGTGTTAACATTTTCTTATAAGTAATGAGTTCATGCTAGATGTATTTCGTATTGATTTTCCAACTTATAGTGTGCAGTCAGTAACATCCGAAATCAAAACAAATCTCAACAAGCTCCAAACACTATTACAGATTCAAATCATTTCTAGTTTATTTAACATTATATTATGTCTCTATTTTGTCTATCAGGTAATAACATTTGTAGTGATAACTTGGATTGACAGGGTGCCTGATATTTTCCCTAGCTGTTATTCAAGACTTTTCAAGCCAGTTATTTAATCTATTTCTACCACCCCTGTTTCTGTTGCAGAGATAGAAAAGTGTAATTATAATCTCAAATGGATATGATAATAATGAAATAATTTTCTTATCTCTCTAAGGCATTCAAAAGATATGGGTGACATAAATATGAACAAAGTTATAATATATTAGA